TAGGCTTTTACAGATGGAAAGCTCATTTATCCTTCTTTTTTCCAGTATTCTTTAACTCTCTACTTTATTCCTATCCCTTTAAAGTTGTGCATGGTGTCAATCAGCCATTGGTCCACATCACCAAGATTTCAAAAGAATTTTCCTCTTGACTAGAACGTTACAGATTTTTCAACAAGCTTTCAAAATTTCCGTAAAGTTAGCCCTCTTAAACGTCAACTGATGCTGATCAATTTATATGTCCTCTGAGTTGTCCATGCAAATTGCAATGCAGCATCTATAGGGGCATTATGGTAATTTTAGTGGTGACAAGTTAACCATGCACCCCTGACAAAGCGGAGGGGTTTCGGTTCCTTTGGTTGTAGTGGGGAAGTGCTTGGTTTCACCACTTCCTTCTTCTTGTTGACCAAAACAAACCAACCTTCCCGTGCCACTTTATAGTTTATATTGTTCGTCAGGGGCATTTCAGTAATTCAATTAATAGCCCAAAATATCCCACGAGGGTCACAAAAATGGGAGCCCATCAAGACTCTTGCTCATAGTTTTATATCTGGTTTTGATCATTTTATATGCTTTTGGAAGTTTGCCTCTTAATCGTCAACCAAATGTCTAAATTTGAATAACTTGAAGCTCAAACATGGTTTCTTTTTGACTGATTGTTGGGTAAATATAGTACATTTTCACGGAACGATTTACCAACTTGATCATTGCTCATTCAATGGGTGGAGGACCTTTTTTTCCCCCTTTAGAAGGAGCATCACTTTCATTTGGCGAAAGAGCCTCAAACAAACTTGTAAAAACCAGCATAAACCATACTCAGTGGAAGGCCTATATTGCCCCTCATGGATTAGGTCGCTACCGCAAGCGCAACCATGGTGACCTTTTGGAAAGGCTGCGCTGTGGAGAGGATGGGAAGCATTGAAACACCTGAAGCATCTGCAAGACTTGACGGTACAGAAGTAAACCGAGCTCGAATCCGATGAAAAGCTAACTGGAACTTTATTGAGCATGGAGGTATCAGCTATTGTTATCCCACCTCTTTTGGGACTGTAGAATTTTCCCGTACATGTACTGATTGATGATTTGCAATATTTAAAGTATCATCATAATCTATGTTATAGAACATGTCAACGCCCCCTACAATTGGGACAATTGTGGCCATGATTGGCTTTTAAAATTTTACCACATCTGTAGCAGAAAGCTGTTTTGCACCTGCAATCAACACATAATAAATAGAAATTCACAGGGAATTCAAGGATTCATTGAACGAAACAAGTCAGAGTAATTGTACAGGGCAAATTTCAGCAGAACAATGGGGTGTAGCTATATAAAGTTCTGAAAAATAGAAAGCTTCGTACACAGTAAACTCAAAATTTAGTTCATACACTGGTCACATAAAACAAGAAGAAAATTTAGGCAAGTTTAAATTTTGCAGCTAAAAAAGTTAGGAAGTGCTGATCTGAATTTAAGAGAGGATTTATTTCCTATCTTGTTCGTTTGAACAAAGATACACAGTTACTATGCTTATCCATTGTGACAACTCCGATTCAGTTCACTGCTTTTCACAAATCTATTCAAATGTGTCAAGGCATGGCTGCCTTATTTTTGCAGACCTCCAGATAGCCACTTCGAAGGACAAAGACAAAGGACTCTAAAGATGGGAACTTTAGCTCGAACTCAATTGTTGTTTGAGAATATTACCTTACTAGAGGTGCCAGAAAACCAATAATTCCTCCACCTAGGAATTAGCTATTATAGGGTAATCGTACTCAAATTCATACCCTGGTCTGTGGACCTTGTACCACGTTTCAAGAACCGAGAACAACCAAGGTAAACAGTTTTGAATCAAGTCAATTTTAGGGAGACGGAAATTGCTGTTGACAGAGGTTGATTGAGATAAAGAAGTGGGGAGTCTACTTTATAGCTTTGATGCTTAGTACAGCAAATTCAGGGCAAATCGTATGTGTAGCCCTCATAGAAGACGTACTAATTAGTTCTCTATATCCAATGCATTTTCCCAGCAATGCATCCAACAATAGTGAGCAAACATGATAGCATAATCATCCTCAAGAGGATTTTTATACAACAGGCATGGAGTGGCAAAGCAACTCCAACTGATCTTTTATATTATAAGGTAGAACCAACAACGAAATTGCTAATTCACGTGAAAAAACCATGTAATAATTTCAGCAAAAGATAACATGTATGGGTATAAATCAAATGCGAAGACTTTGAGGAAAAATAGCAGATAAACTGACCTGCACATCATGAACATGCAACCCTCTGATTTTTCCACATAGAACTTACAATTGGGGCATCTTCTCCATTGTTTCTGCTGCGCAAGGTTCTTCAACATGACAGCTTCCTTTTCCCTCTCATCCTTATTCAACTTCTGAAATTCTTCGCACTCAATCTCCTCGTGCCAAGGAACCTTACACTGGGCACAGAACATTCTCCAACAATTGAGACACTGTGATTGCTTTATAACCTCTTTCCCATCATCAATCAACATAGCAGAGCAGTCCTTATAGGGACAATAAAACTTCTCAGACCCAAGAATCACACTCTCACACAACACACTTCCCCACCTATCAAACACCTCAGGGGGCAGAATTGGTCGACAATACTCGGCCTCTAGCAACCCTTTACAATCAGGAACAGGGCACCTAATGTTTGTGATGTTCTCTTGAAGCTTCGAGGCCACGTAGTTGACCGTACAGTCAGTACAATACCCATGGCTGCAATTTTCTACCGCAAACAACTGGTTTCCGGGCTTGGTTTCAACACAGATTTCACAAACAAAAGATGGGTTTTCCTTGGAATTGGAAGATTGCCCAGCTTCGGTCACAGAAGGACCCGTAAAGGGCTTTGTTCGTTTTCCAAAGGGGGTGTTTGAGGGTTTAAACCTAAGAATTCTAAGCTCATCGTCATCGTCGTAAAAGTCTAGAGTTTCATCAGAAAGGTCGATAAAGTTACCTGCTTTGATCGATTGAAGGCCTCTTTCCTCTTCCACGTGGTCTGCTGAGCGCTTCAGTGAAATGGGTGTGAAGCAAAAGGCATCGTCGTCTTCAATGTTCACGATCTCAATTTGGGACTGAGGCTGAGACTGAGAGTGAGCCACTGTTTTCTCCATCTTAGGTTTCCTTGTTCTCATTGGAAACTTGTCGCTAAGATTGAGACGCTTTTGGACTCTCCCTCTGCAATTTCAATTTGAGTAGTCTTCCTCTTCCTTAATGTGCACGCTACTCTTGTTAATTATGGTTAACTCTTTAAATTCCACAATGGTGGTGACGCAGAGGATTATACAGTCCTGGGATCTCTTTTTAATCAACGACAATTAATCAAGCACAATGTTATTATTTTATTGGTTACATATTCTGGGTTGGATTCTGGCCAATCAACCTAAAAATTACTATTCTTTTATAAAAACTATAGAAAAGACAGGAATTCGTGCTTTGTGGATTGTGACACATCGTGATAGAATGAAGGGCGAAGAGGAAGGAGGGTTTTCTTATACATGTCATATCAAGGTGTCATGTAGAATCGAATTTAAGACCACTCGTATATAAGTTAAGATTCTTTTTTTGTTGGACTAGACCCTAAAAACAAGTATTCACAAATATTACCTAACATGTGTGTAAAAATAATTCATAAAAATATATAAAAATAAAAATTACCACACGCATGTCAAACTGGTGTGACACATCCACATAGAAATCTAAGGATTAATGAATGCACCTTGACACAGGTGCAAAAAATAATTTATCTAACATAAGAAGAAAAAAAACTTCTACACACATGTCAAACTGTTATTGATAAGAATATAGGAGAGAAGACAAGTATTTTCCTTATAATATGAGTTCATTGGTAACAAATTATTTGATCAATTAATTTTTTTTTAAAAAGTAGAATTCTACAAAGCTACTTTTATAATAAGTTACGATATTATAATGAATTAACTACAATTAGGTATCAAACTCACAACAAATTTGTATCCATCATTGCATTCATTTCATTCAATCTGTGAATCTCCTCTAATTATGTGAAAACAACAACCACTGGTATGCCAATATTTTCCTTATGCCATCTTCTCTTCTTAAATCATATGAAGTACTTTTGTTTAAAGTAACTTTATTTATATGAAAGATAGACACATGAAAGACTCTTTGTCTGTTTTTTTTTTTTAATGAATGGGGAATAAAACATGCATTCTTTAATCCACTTTGTCTCCCTTTATTTTATAAAAACCTTCCCACACCAATACAAACGCAGTCTAATTCAAAATCTCTACCTCACAAGCAAAAAGTGACTTTATATGGTAGACTTATTTTTTGGTAAGGACAATGATTCCCTCATTGTTCGTACACGTTGCTCACTAGTGTAACCCATTCAGAAGTAGACACGTGTTTTTCTTTCTTATTCTAAATATATATTTCATTTCACAACATTATTTTCTCAGTTGAATGCTATTTTGTCTTTTTATTTTTGGTTTAACTTTCCTATTTAATTTTTATTTCCCCAAATAAAGCAAGTCATTCTTTTGAGGTTAAGGTTAAAGAGGCCCAAGCGGCTAAAGTTGGGGTTCTTTTTTTTTTTTTTTTTTTTTTTTTTTTTTTTTTTTTTTTTTTTTTTTTTTTTTTTTTTTTTTTTTTTTTTTTTTTTTTTTTTTTTTTTTTTTTTTTTTTTTTTTTTTTTTTTTTTTTTTTTTTTTTTTTTTTTTTTTTTTTTTTTTTTTTTTTTTTTTTTTTTTTTTTTTTTTTTTTTTTTTTTTTTTTTTTTTTTTTTTTTTTTTTTTTTTTTTTTTTAACTATGGATGGCACCTTTAAGCCTTAACCACAACCCAGACTAATCCCCGTTCACACCGGGTCGGCCCGTAAGGAGTAAAGTGCTGGCCAAAGTGGTGACTTCATACGAGAGCAGGGATCGAACCCCTGACCTCTCTTAAGGAATGAGAGTGCCGAACCACTCACACCAACCACCTTGGTTAAGTTGGGGTTCTTTTTCAAGAGGGATGTGGTGAGAGGCTGTGATTGAGGGGAAAAAAAAAAGTTAAGAAAAATAAAATGAAAACTGAAATGTATTTTTGGAATAAGAAAAAAAAAAACAAACAAACACGTGTCTATTGATCAAGCCCACAAATGGCAACCAAACGATATAAAAAAGGGATTCTTCCAACATTAGACGTATTTTGTTGTAGTACGAATTAGAGTGAGGTCTGGATTTGTAGAAGAACGCATGTCCACACATGCAAGCAACCACCCAAATTCGAAATCGTCATCGTACATGTAGATATGTCATTATACGTAGATACTTTCTTCGTAGGTTTTGAATGAATATATTAACAATGAATGAGAATGTATCTACAATTTTGTATCTGCGTACATGTTCAATTTCAAACTAAGTATATACTTCAACTCAAATTAAGCCTAATTTCCCAACTAGTTGCTGCAATCATAGAAAACTATATTATTTTTTTATGTGTGTGTGTATGCGTTTTTGGCTATATAAAAAACTAATTTAATTTGCGAAAAATCTTGAATTAATTAAGCAACAGAAGTACCGTAGACTATATAAAACTTACCTGCATTTCATGACGTTCACCCATAAGATTTTTCAATATAGTATTTGCAACTTGGAAACCTCATCCAGTTCATTTTTTTGGCAAGCTCCTCCACCATCTGATCTTGATCATCATCACTTAAACTGGGCACAATCAAACCCTGCATGCCAATGAACCTTACAACTAGGGCACAACTCTCTCTCGCAATGAGAACACTCTGCTGCACACAAAGACAATTTGGTGCCATTCTTATAAACCAACAGGGCTGAGCAATCCTTGAAGGGACAGTACAAGTACTTGTCAGTCTTAGACCCCATAACCACAGCTTCACATACGGCATTCCCCCACCAATAGAAAACGTTGTTCGGGAGAATTGGATGGCAGTGCTCGGGGTCTAACGTGCCCTTGCAGCCTGGCACAGGGTACATAATGGATGTGACATTGTCTTGGAGCTTGGACACTATGAATTTGACAATGCATTGGTCGCAATAAAAATGGGTGCAACCCTTCACCTTGAATGAGTCTTGCAGATGGTTTGGCTCAAAGCAAAAATCACATGTAAAAGTGTTTGGATTAATCTCGTCATGTTGGTTATGAGCCGATCTTGCCGAGTTCTTCTTTGACTGTTGAATTTTCTTTCCTTCATGATTCAATCACCGTGATTGATCTTGGGATGTTAATGCCAAAAATTAGGGCAAGAACATGTATGTTCTAGTTTGCTATTCTTCCTCTTGTTGCTTCGTGCGCACGTTACTCCTCCAGGCAGGTGAGTGGAAACTCTTAATTAGGTTAAATAAAGCTTAGTCTTGGTAGTTTGTGTTAGTGTTAAATTCAAGAATCCTTTCCTTGGTCAATAAGGATTTTAAACCTTTTTTAGTGGCATTTTTTTCACTCAACAAAAATAAAAATAACAGAAGAACAATATATTATTATTGTCCCAGATTTCCCAACTTGCTCAGAACAAAACATTTGCTTCCCTTTCTTTTATAAAAACCTTCCCACACCAATGCACACGACAAGCTACAGGTTCGACAAAGTCTAATCCAAAATCTGTATTGAATCTTGCATTTAGGATAGTTAAAAAAAATGAAGGAAGGTCCACTGAAAGTACAAGATAAAATTGGCAAGGGGACAAAAAAAAGAAGGAGAAAATCCAAATCAATAACCACAATTTAATAACTTAAAAATGGGGGTTCTAGCACGAAAAAGAAAAACAAGCAAGAGGATAATTAAAAAAATAATTTTGGGTAGACTAGTATTATGGGCCTAGTTGTATTTGGGAATGTTTGTTATTGAGCTGCATTAGGTTTATTGTTGTAATTAGAGATAGGCTTGATGTTTTGAAGATGGTTTTGAGGGGCTAATTAAGAATGATAAAACCCTATAATTATTAGGCTAAAGTCCAGGGGAGCATAAACAAAGTTTCCCCTTGAAAATAGACTTGATTCACATCAGCAAAATTCTTGCCAACAAACTAAATCACCAAAATTGCAATTCCTTTCTCTCTGCCTTCAGAACTGACAAGTTGACTTTACTCTTCAAGACATTTAATTTTGCGTTGGAAAGACAAAACATTCACTAATTATTTTCAAATCATAAATATATAAACTTTCTTCACATATTTTCGTAATTTTTTTCCTATAACAATGCATTAATTGAATTTAAGACTCTGTTGGGGCACAAATTATTAAAGCAACAAACAAATCTTTTCAAATTATTGCATAACAAACTTTAATTTAAAGAGTTTAATTTGCTACTTCTATTGGAGATGCTCTACCTTAATTACATTAATTAAAGAAAAGAGAAAGCAATTTTAGTAAGCTATCTATCGAGTGTATCGGTAGAAGGATCGTTACTATTCTCCTTTCAAGAATATACGTATTTCTTTCAAGAATATATGTATTTTTTTCAAGAATAATATACGTCTTTCTGTCAAGAATATACGTGTATCTTTCAAGAATATACGTGTATCTTTCAAGAATGATAGACGTGTTTCTTTAAAGAATATACCTATTTCTTTAAAGAATATACGTGTATCTTTCAAGAATAGACATGTTTCTTTCAAGAATGATAGACGTGTTTCTTTCAAGAATATACGTGTTTCTTTCAAGAATGATATACGTGTTACGTTCAAGAATATACGTGTTTCTTCCAACGATATACGTATTCTGTCGTAAAAAGAATAGTTGGGTTTGTTGTATAAGAACTCACGTCCACACCTGCAACAACCCGAACTGGAAATTATCATCACTCATACTAATCAATTTTGATGGCGACGTGGCTTTGAAAACAAAAACAAAAAACAAAGGGCATTTAGATTTTCATATCATTGAATAATTAAGATGACGTTTTAGATACTTTGATTCATAGTTTTATGAATGAGTGTATCAATGATGAATTTGAATGTATCTACAATTTTGTATCTACGTATATAATATATTCATAATATCTTAAAACCAATTTCAAATTAAGTAACACTTGAACTCAAATTAGGCCTAATTTCCAAACTAGTAGCTACAATCAATCTACAGAATTAATTAAGCAGCAAGAGTACTATAATCTACATAACCGACCTGCATTTCATGCGGTTGCACCCAGAAGATTTTTGAATATAGTATTTGCAACTTGGACACCTCGGCCAGTGGCCACTTCAGTTTTCTGGCAAGCTCCTTGACCATATCACCATCACTTAGTTTCTGAAACTGGGCACAATC